ATAAAATATATATATAAAAATATGTAAAAGCCAACATACCATGCTTTTGATCGTCAGCCAGGTCCACTTCTGGCTCCTACACATGCAGGAAGACAGCTTTAGTTGAAAAAATAGGCATTGCTATAATATACAGCTATTCAAAAATATTCAGGTAGAAGCTACTTAAACAAGTAAGTTACAAAGAAAGTATGGAAAAAGGTTCTATAATTTGCAACACAAACAGACCGTTTCCATATCTGGCATTTCTGGCAGTGGCAGCGCTGCTTCCACCACAAACTGGTCATCGTCATCATCAGAAATCTGCTGGTCTGTGATCACGTTTGAGACTGTTTTACCACTGCCACTCCTGTAAGAGACACAGTGAAAATGCAAGCTTATTAACATCTGTCCAAACCTCTTAAGATCTATCCAGAGCAGAAGAGACAGATGTACCCTCCCTCCCATAAAACAAAGCAGCACCAGCTAAAAGCACAACAAATACCATCACTTCCAGTCACTGTCCAACTCCAAAAACATCAGTTATCCGTCCTTCTCTCACAAAAGGACGGGCATTTTCCTTTTAAACACTTGACTTCAGTGACTGGCACTTATCAGAGATCAATTAAGCCATTTTGTCCATCGTTTCGAACTGTTTTTTCAGGCTTTTATGAATATGGGATACTCACTGCATGTTTTACAGATATCTTCTAGTGGTAGTTTAGATTAATGTTCTAGGGTTATCCACTCCAGAATTCTCAAAAGCAAAAAAATTAAATTATGTTTTTGAACTGCCAGATGTGACTGCCGACCATAACTTTTAGGTAATACGCTGGATTTGCAGAAACAATAAAACAAATAAATCAGGCTGGATTTTTCCCGTCTGAAACAACGAGCAGTGAGGTGGCTCCATCCCAAAGCCGTTCAGCAGCAGCTGAGGCACAGGAGATGCGAGAACAGCGTGGCACAAGAGCTAGAAACATCTGCTCTTCACCTCCTGCATTCCTTACCTTTCTGGAAGTGAGACCTCTGTGCTTTCTTGACGTTTTACTCGAGGCGGTGCTGGTCTCGCACTGCTAGGACGGGGAATACGTCTGCAATAACAAAGAGGCTTTTTCATTTGTACTATAGAAGGAAGCCTCAAGCAGCCTCCAGAGGAATGGACATGCATACATACAAAAGCTGAGTAAATTAGGCAATGCACAACAAAACTGAAAACATGCCCAATACACAATCCAATACTGTGATACTTGCTATCCTAGTAGGAGCCTAAAGAAATCTAGAAAATATGTCCTAAACCAAAAAAACCCTATAGTTCTGTGTAAAAATCATCTCTTTATTTATCTCACTAAAAAAATAACCTGCACAGAGCACAGCTATTTACCATTAACAGCACACACCGCAATATAAATGTAAAAAAACCTAAAAGTGATGCAATTACAGAAGCCTTCATCGGGCAAAGAAAAAGTAAACTGGGATTTCAAAGAAAAGTTCATCTTATCTGTAACACCATCCTTATGAAATGCATGTATGCAATGCAATGTTCTTCTCACTAGACTCTCCACATCTCCCTCATATTTTAATAAGATCACATTGGAGCACTTTATGGATTAAGAAAATAAATCTGAAACACTTTGCAATGTTAAAGTTTCCTTTGTAGGAGGAAATGAAAGTGAGTAAAGAGAAACCATACGTGGAGTAACATTTATTGTTTAGTACCACTACTAGAAACATATTGCTCCAAGTTTCCTTGCTGTTTTCAAAGGGACTGGCTGTATTACCTCCAGACACATCATATTCAAACAAAATAAAAAATAGGAACAAACCTTTGGACAGGCTGAGGTGGAAGGTCATTAGGTACGTCACCGTTTTCAGATACTGCAGGCTTTTCAGGAGCCACATTCTCCACTTCTTCTATTAAATAGAACAAACATACAAATTTGGCTTAGCTGGCAAGGCACACCTAACTTTTCTTACAACAGTACTTTGAATCTTATCAGCGCCATGCTTGAATGTGTGCTCATGAAATACATCACATGACAAAGGTTTTAAATTAGAAATAAAATTCTATGAGCTTATATAGAAGTTAAATATCTTGTGAACTTCCAGATTTTACAAATCTCAAAGCATTCACAATTCAAAAAGGATACTGAAAAAACATTCAAGTCTTAATTATTTTTTTTAATATTGTTAAATTCCTGCACCTACGAAAATTACATCATCTCACTCCATTCTTCCATAGTTGCATGGTAACTTCTACAATATTTCAAGTTGCTCATTATACAAAATCATAAGAGGAAAAAAAGGTACTTAACAGAAATACTCTCTAAGCTGTTTATTGCTTTTTAAAAAAAAACAAAAGAAACAAACAACCCACACCTTTCTTTTATTTACCTTAACTTCTTATTTTCCTCTACTGGTATTCTTAGCTGACCCATATTTGAGCAGGGGTTGGACTGTCTGACCTTCATTTGTCCGTCCCTGTCAACATCACGGATTCTATGATCGGAGGATGAGGGCTTCTGTAATCCCACCACAGTTATGGTTCCATAAGGCTGACTCCATTGGCAACTTAAATTGGACAGAACCAGTTTAAACAATCTTTCC